CTCCTGTTTTTAAGAATTTAGTGAAAAAAGTGTAAAATCTCAAAACATCTGATACGGTGTTTTCACAATTTTGTATTGAGTTTCCTTCCAGAATATCAATTCCAAACAGTCCTAGCGAAATAAATTACATTGAAGAAGTTTTTACTGGTTTCCCGAATTAATAATAATGCAGATTTTAAAAATCAGATATCAAAATTAAACTCAACTTGGTTTAGCTCCTTAAATGCACTCTCTCCGTCCCATTTATATAGGCTTGTTTTATTTTTCACGCAGATTAAGAAATTTTATTTAATATTTTCCTAGTTTACCTTTATTTATATTTTTACAATTTCAAGATTAAATTAAAAAATTAATTATAATTAGGCAAATCAAATAAGGGTATATTAGTAAATGAACAAAACAAAACAAGTTTAATAAAGAAATAGGACTGTATAATTGGGACAAGAAAATAAGGAAAGTAAGCTTATATAAATGGAAAGGAAGGAGTATAAGATAAATGAAGCTAACTTGAATGGGAGGATAGCGTCAACAAAGTGAAAAGTTAGTCCAAGAACAACAGATATGATTGTCATTACCCTGCTCATGATACAAGAAGCCAACTGTGAGTACAAAGGAAATAAATGTTACCAATATTTCAAGTACAATAAATGAATTTCCATGCTGAAGATAGATAGGAAAATTATCATGATATCTAGTAGTAATGTGATTGTTTTTGAAGATTGGATATGGTGTTGAAGAATATCCAAGATTTTCCTAATGATCCTCGAGAATCTGTCCAAACAAGAAACACATGCTCCTTCATAGCATGATTTTAAAACTTCGAAGTATACTTGTAATGCATTGAATCATACAAGTGCAAGTGATAAGGCTTGACTAGCAACCAGCCATGAACTTTATTAGTCTTGGCTAAAACTTCCATAATCATTTATAGGTAATTTTACAGGTAAGGAATATTCGGATCCCATATTATTATACATACAATAAAATTATTCTGCAAACAGAAGGAATCTGCATTGAACCACTTCACGTAGAAGCTTAATCTCTCAGAGTGGAGACAAATGCATTTAGTTTATTTTTTGTTCAACATGCCCCCCTCATTTGCAGATCAGATTTATATTTTAATCACGGGCCTGATGTTGTGCACAAAAAAACTTACGCAAGAGCTCCAAAAGTCCCAAGGAAGGTAACAGCAGACGAGTTCCTAGCAGCTAAAAGTGCCTGATCAGGAGAGCATAAATCCAATAGTTATCTTACTAGAGAGTAGGTTATCAAGGGCACAATAATATGGAATACACATGCTAGGTTATATTTTGATCACAAGATAATTTCTCATTATCTAATGGTAGACAAGGAGCTGGGTTCATTTGTATGTATATATATATGGATAGAAATTTTTCTATCTGCAATTCTTCGCATTTTATAATGATGAGCCCTTTGGACTTATTCTCCGTCCAAAATGCATAGAGACTAACATTTGTACAAGTATGTAGTCAATAAAGTCAATAAATTAAGTATGGAGAGAAGTTTCATGAGCCATCAAACTGGAAATTAATAATATCTTACAGCGATAAAGAAGGTGTAAACATTTGGGCTGCTGAAATCTTTGAGCCCAGTTAATGTTCTGAAGTAAAAATGTGTTTTACCCGGCCCAATGATTTAAACACCCATTTACTGAAGCTTCTAGATTTAACAAAGTTGTGTTTTTGGAAATGCAATTTTAACTCAAAACGCGTCCTCTATTGGATCTCCTACACGTGGTATAACTGTGACCATTGGATTGGTCTATGGGACGCGCCTCATATAATTAGGGTTTGAGAGACCTTTTGTTTAACCCTAATCTCTCTTTTGACTGTTGTTTTCTTCTTCGAACTCTTCATCTACTGCTGTGTTTTTCTTGTGATTTCTGAGTGAAATCTTTGCAAAGAAGTGTTGAGATTTATCTCTTAGTGAGATTCATGTATAATTTTCTGAGGGCCTCTTGTGATTAAAAATGGCAGAATACTCTCATATTTTGTAACTTGTTTTGCCCAATTTGGGAACTGTGATAGTGGATTCGAGCTTAATTCGTATGAATGCTCAACGGGATGTAGGCGTTAGCTGGTCACCGAACCTCAGGGCCTTTGGCCAAAAATTCCTTGCGTTGATTTTTCTAATTTTCTACACTTTTATATTTTGTATTTTACTGAAAAATACTTGATCACAAAAGGGTTCGTAATACTGGGTACTACAATGGTATCAGAGCCACTACTAAAATTCGTTTTCAAAATATTTTTGTTCGAACCCTTTATTCCGTAACTTGATTGTGTTTAAAACTACCAAAAACTAATAGATCTGTTTTTTGTTGTACAGGAAAAATTCTTCGATTTGAATCTTGAGTAGATCTGTGGTATCGGTTTGGTATCTTTCGAAATAAATTGCAAATCTGGTGAAATCTATACCTTGTCCAAACTTAAATATTTGCTGAATCTTGATTAGGAGTTATGCTAGGGATTTTTTCGAACCCCCTTTGATTTTCCTTTGTCTAGAGTTTCATGTGAGAAACCTAGAATCTGAGGGAATTAAGGAACAGTGAAGAAATCCATTAGGGACTTATTACTTTGTGTTCTGCGATTTATGTTATTGCGTTTGCATATCTTAAATTTGGTGTATAGGATTTCACAATACTAATCAACCATCTGCAGTTGACATTATTCAATTAACTTTTGTGTCTGCACTCACACTTTACATAATTTGGTAAGAAATTGCTTTATTTGTTATTGCAAGAATTAATTGTCAATTGTTAAGTTTACTGAGTGTGAACTATTTTTATGCGATATATCTCTATTGTGTTCTGCATATAGTGTGATCAGTTTTTTTGCTGAGACTAACTCTTACCAGAATCATCTTGAATACTATTGTGACATACTTGAACAATATGTCCACTAAAACTGATATTCAACACTGGGATGGCAAAGGGGATTTTACTCTCTGGAGCCAGAAAATGAAAGTCCTCTTAATGCAATTGAAATGTGTTAAAGCAATTGTTGAATCTTGGCCAGAAACTTTATCAGAAGTTAGAAAAACTGAGCAAGATGAATTGACATGGAGTACAATATTTCTTCACCTATCTAACTCTGTGATTAGAAAGATAGGAATTACCACTACTGCTGTTGGGTTATGGACAACTTTAGAAAAACAATATGCTTCTAAGTCCCTCCCAAATAAGTGCTTTCTCTGGAAACAATTTTTCAGTCATAAATTTGACCCTACTGCAGACTTAAAAGAAAATATGGACAGATTTAACAAGATCACACAGGATTTAACCAAGTGTGGGGAAAAGATTTCGGATGACCAGAAAGTAGTTAGTCTACTAAATGCTTTGGGTGATAAGTACAAGGATATTGAGAATGCCTTAGAATATGGTAGGAGTGACTTAACTATTGAAACCATTCATGACTCACTCAAGAATAGAGATCTAGAACTTAAATCTGAAAATAAAGTTGTCTTAAATGTTGAAAAATCAATGTCCAATCCAAAAATTCCCATAAAAGGCTTAAATAACTTCAGTCAAGCTAATTACAATAGAGATAAAAATTTCTCTAAAAAGAAATGGGGGAATAATAAAAAAAAGGACAAGAAGTTATACAAGGGAAAGGTTAACAATAGAAAATGCTATTACTACAATAAAAATGGTCATTTAATAAAAGATTGCTTCAAAAAGGTTAAGGACCTAGGAAATGGCCCTAAGCAAGATAATGACACTTCAGCCATTGCCGCTTCCTATAAAAGGGAAGAAGATGCTGATATTGGGGTAGCTTATGTGCTCTCATTAGAAAAACCTGAACATGATTGGGTTCTAGATTCAGGATACTCCTTTCATATGAGCCCTAATATTAAATGGTTTACTAATTACACAAATCTTAGTAGTGGATGTGTAAAACTGGGAAATAATGATTCCTGTCAAGTAAAAAGAATTGGAAACATTGTTTTAAAATTGAAAAATGGTCAACACTTAAGGCTAAATCATACTAGATATGTTCTAGCACTTAGGAGGAATCTTATATCCTTGGGGGTTTTGGATGATGAAGGGTATCAAATTAAAATTAAGGATGGTTTTACAAAATTAAATAGAAATCAGTCACTTATATTCAAATCACCCAAAATAAATGGTATCTATACCCGTTGTCATTCAGAATGCTGTTATGAATTTGGTCACACAACTAGATAATTCTGATCTATGGCACAAAAGGCTAGGTCATCTAAGTGAGAAAGGCCTAAAGATACTTTCAAAGGCTGGTGTTTTTTGGAATGACAATGTTCAGAAGTTAACCTTCTGTGAACATTGTATTATGGGAAAACAGAATATGATGCCCTTTAATCATGGTACTCGTAAGTCCCAAAATATACTTGAATACATTCATAGTGATTTATGGGGGGCCTGGACTTGTGTCTACTGCATCTGGATATAGATATTACCTCCTTACCGTTCATGACTATTCCAGAAAAGTTTGGATCTTCCTGCTAAAATCAAAATCAGACACCTTCTTAGTTTTTAAGGAGTGGAAAACCTTAGTAGAAAATCAAACAAGTAGGAAGATCGAAGTTTTAAGAACTGACAATGGGTTGGAGTTCTACAATACTGAATTTAATCAGTATTGCAGCATAAATGGCATACTTAGACACAGGACTGTCACCTATACTCCTCAACAAAATGGTGTAACGGAGAGAATGAATAGAACCATCCTTGAGAAAACAAGGTGCATGTTGATTAGTTCAGGTCTGCTAAAAACTTTTTGGGGAGCAACAGTAAAAACTGCATGCTATCTGAAAAATCTGTGTCCTTCCACCTCCTTAAACAACAAGATACCATAACAAATATGGTCAGGATCTGTTCCAGACTATTCTCATCTAAAAACTTTTGGGTGTGCAGCCTATGGTCATCAAATTGACTCTAAACTTGACCCAAGATCTCTGAAATGTGTTTTCTTAGGTTATGGAAAAGGGGTAAAAGGCTATAGGCTCTGGCTAAAGGAAGCTAAAGAATTTAAGGTAATCATAAGTAGGTCTGTGATTTTCAATGAAGATGTCTTCCCATGTCTTGGTGACAATAATGAAGATAAAATTACAGATAATGATTTTGTTATGATTGAAATTAATTTTGAAAGCCAGAATTCCCTTGAGCAAATACATATTGAGGTGGAGACACCTCAGGTTGAGATCCAGCCTCATACTAATAATGAAAATGTAAATAATTATCAAGAATTAGAACCTGCACATGACCTGCAGGACTATCAGTTAACCAGAGATAGAGAGAGAAGAACTATTAGATCTCCTTCTAGGTACCAGTTTGCAGATTATGTGTCTGGACAGATAGAAGCAGAATTCTTAGATAAGGAACCTGAATGTTATGAAGAGGCTATCACCTCTAAAGACTCTGCTGAATGGGTTGCAGCAATGCAAGAAGAGATGAGTTCTCTGTATAAAAATAAAACTTGGAACTTAGTGGTCAAACCTAAAGACTGCAAACTAATTGATTATAAATGGGTTTACAAAATAAAAGAAGGAGAATACAATTCAAATGACAAAAGATATAAGGCTAGGCTGGTTGCTAAAGGTTTTACACAGAGAGAGGACATAGACTACACTGATATATTTTCACCTGTAGTGAAGTAAACTTCAATTAGGATACTTCTAGCCCTTGTTGCTCAGTTTGACTTAGAACTTGAGCAATTAGATGTAAAAATCACTTTTCTGCATGGCTTTTTAGATGAAACCATATACATGACACAAC